ACAAATCATACTAATATATCATAAAAATATATGCCATTTAGCAGACGCTTTTATGTTTATGCATAGCAACTTACATCCATATGGGTGGTCCCCCGAATCAAACCCACTATCATGGCGTTGCAAGCGCTAAGCACCATGCTCTACCAACTGAGATAGAGGACCACTCTAGGTCTCTGTGGTTTTATTTCCTGTAGTCTAGCTTAAAGGGACAATCTGCAATTCAAACAACAACCACAAAGCGGTTACCCCACCTCTGTTTTGTTAAAAATGTAAACACTCTCAAATTCATGAACAGAGATGGAAGCAATGACTAACCATCCATGAGTTCAACATTGTATTTATTTGAGGCTATATGGTGTTTGCTTACATTTACATTGTTTAGAAACAATGTAGTAAAATAAGCTTATGTTTTGGGTTACGATGGGATGTGACAGTTGAACTATGGTCATGAAGCATTTTTCAGTTATATTCTTCTTTAAAAAGACAATGGGTATTAATAAGCCTATATTGTAGAGAATCCAGGGGGTGGGGGGGGAGTCACTCGGGGCCAGCGACTGTCGAGCCAAAACCGTTATGCCAAGAGTTCCTAACCCCTTGATGAGGTCGTTAGTTATTGGGTTAAGATTGCTACAATTGGCTTTACCCAGGGCTTCTTTAAAACATGGCAACGTTTAGTTTGAAGATGCTAAAAAGCAAGTCTTGGTGTCTGAAAGAGATTCAAATCAAATTTTATTTGTCACATGCTTCATAAACAACAAGTGTAGACTAACAATGAAGTGCTTACTTACAGCAGAGAGAAAGAAAATATAAAAAGTAATAACTAAAAGGTAATAATAAAAGTAATAATAAATACACAATGAGTAATGATGATACGTTGGCTATATACACTGAGTGTACAAAACATTAGGAATATCTACTCTTTCCATGACATAGACTGACCAGGTGAATCCAGGTGAAAGCTATGATCCCTTATTGATGTCACTTGATAAATCCACTTAAATCAGTGTAGATTAAGGGGAGGAGACAGGTTAAAGAAGGATTTTTAAGCCTTGAGACAATTGAGACATGGATTGTGTATGTGTACTATTCAGAAGGTGAATGGGCAAGACAAAAGATTTAAGTGCCTTTGAACGGGGTATGGTAGTAGGTGTCAGGCGCACAGGTTTGAGTGTGTCAAGAACTGCAACGCTGCTGGGTTTTTCACGCTCAACAGTTTCCTGTGTGTATCAAGAATGGTCCACCACCCAAAGGACATCCAGCCAACTTGACACAACTGTGGGAAGCATAGGAGTCAACATGGGCCAGCATCCCTGTGAAACGCTATCGACACCTTATAGAGTCCATGCCCCGACGAATTGAGGCTGTTCTGAAGGCAAAAGGGGGGAGGTGCAACTCAATATTATTAGGAAGTGTTCCTAGTGTTTTGTACACTCAGTGTAGTGTACCTGGGGTGTGAGGTAATTGTGCAGGGGTGTGAGGTAATTGAGGTAGATACAGTGTGTACATATAGGTAGGGGTAAAGTGACAGATAATAAATAGTAGCAGCAGCGTATGTGATGAGTCAGTGATGATGTGGAGGTCCTGGGCTGGCATGGTCACACGTGGTCTGCGGTTGTGAGGCTGGTTGGACGTACCACCAAATTCTCTAAAACGACGTTGGAGGCGGCTTATGGTAGAGAAATTAATGTTCAATTCTCTGGCAACAGCTCTGGTGGACATTCCTGCAGTCAGCATGCCAATTGCACGCTCCTTCAAAACTTGAGATGTCTGTGGCATTGTGTTGTGTGACAAAACTGCACATTTTAGGATGGCCTTTTATTGTCTCCAGCACAAGGTGCACCTGTGTATTGATCATGCTGTTTAATCAGCTTCTTGATATGCCACACCTGTCAGGTGGATGGATTATCTTAGCAAAGCAGGATTTGCTCACTAACAGGGAGGTAAACAAAAGAGTGTAAGAAATTTGAGCGAAATACGCTTTTGGTGCGTATGGACAATTTCTGGAATTGTCCATTTTTGTTCCGTATATATATATCCCTGATGTCCTTACACAGCTCTCTGGTCTTGGCCATTGTGAAGAGGTTGGAGTCTGTTTGATTGAGTGTGTGGACAGGTGTCTTTTATATAGGTAACGAGTTCAAACAGGTGCAGTTAATACAGGTAATGAGTGGAGAACAGGAGGGCTTCTTAAAGAAAAACTAACAGGTCTGTGAGATCCGGAATTCTTACTGGTTGGTAGGTGATCAAATACTTATGTCATGCAATAAAATGCAAATTAATTACTTAAAAATCATACAATGTGATTTTCTGGATTTTTGTTTTAGATTCCGTCTCTCACAGTTGAAGTGTACCTATGATAAAAATTACAGACCTCTACATGCTTTGTAAGTAGGAAAACCTGCAAAATTGGCAGTGTATCAAATACTTGTTCTCCCCACTGTATATATATATATATATATATATATATATATATATATATATATATATATATATATATATATATACTTTAAAAATACAAACATTGACCTTGAGAATTAGCTAACAAACATGGCAGGTAAAACAATACTAGTGCTATCAAACACTAGTAATATTCTATAAAGTGGGCCCAGGATAATGTACTGTAGCAACAGTAGATGAGAGAAGCCAGCAGTGATGTAGACTGGGCTACTGGGCTGTAGCACCTTATATCCCATCACATGGTAATGACACAAGGAGCAGTGATGTAGACTGGGCTGCTGGGCTGTAGCACCTTATATCCCATCACATGGTAATGACACAAGGAGCAGTGATGTAGACTGGGCTGCTGGGCTGTAGCACCTTATATCCCATCACATGGTAATGACACAAGGAGCAGTGATGTAGACTGGGCTGCTGGGCTGTAGCACCTTATATCCCATCACATGGTAATGACACAAGGAGCAGTGATGTAGACTGGGCTGCTGGGCTGTAGCACCTTATATCCCATCACATGGTAATGACACAAGGAGCAGTGATGTAGACTGGGCTGCTGGGCTGTAGCACCTTATATCCCATCACATGGTAATGACACAAGGAGCAGTGATGTAGACTGGGCTGCTGGGCTGTAGCACCTTATATCCCATCACATGGTAATGACACAAGGAGCAGTGATGTAGACTGGGCTGCTGGGCTGTAGCACCTTATATCCCATCACATGGTAATGACACAAGGAGCAGTGATGTAGACTGGGCTGCTGGGCTGTAGCACCTTATATCCCATCACATGGTAATGACACAAGGAGCAGTGATGTAGACTGGGCTGCTGGGCTGTAGCACCTTATATCCCATCACATGGTAATGACACAAGGAGCAGTGATGTAGACTGGGCTGCTGGGCTGTAGCACCTTATACCCATCACATGGTAATGACACAAGGAGCAGTGATGTAGACTGGGCTACTGGGCTGTAGCACCTTATATCCCATCACATGGTAATGACACAAGGAGCAGTGATGTAGACTGGGCTACTGGGCTGTAGCACCTTATATCCCATCACATGGTAATGACACAAGGAGCAGTGATGTAGACTGGGCTGCTGGGCTGTAGCACCTTATATCCCATCACATGGTAATGACACAAGGAGCAGTGATGTAGACTGGGCTGCTGGGCTGTAGCACCTTATATCCCATCACATGGTAATGACACAAGGAGCAGTGTATGACGTAGACTAGACTACAATCCTTCAGCTTTACATTGTCAGATCTTTTGTCCAGGACCTCTTTGGCCACCTGCATTCTGGCCCCACCGATGTTAACATGCATTGGGACAGTTGGGTCACTTAGTGCCTTCTCCCTGTGCATGAACTCTCTGGCCATCTAGGCAGTAAATAAACAACAGATGATGGGATAAATAATGTCTACCATCTATAGGGCTGTTGGGAAATATACAATAATATGAAAGCAGGCCTCCAACTGCCTTGTCACCACCTTACCAATAGTAGTCAGCTGATTCATTGTAATAGTCTTAGACTCTGGGAAACCTTTGTTGCTTGACTGTAATCATGAAAACACACCAGCACACTGGTGATGTTGAAGCTCCACTGATTTGATGGATATTACACTATCATTTCATATAGAGTTTGTTACATTATAGCAACCAGGTTCTCTATTGACCTGGGTGACATTCATTAGTGCACACACCTGACCATAGCACATCAGTTAGCAACGGAAATAAATAGTTTCTCCTTGGACACATGCAGTTATACTAATTACTTATGCTAACCTTTCAATGGAATGACTTTGGCTAAACACTCAATCAGAACGATCACTGGCTCTCTGCAATTGAACATGGGGTGCATTTGCTTTTGGCCCACTTTTGGGAGGCCTACCCTTAAGGGTTATGCACAGATTTGCCTACTGAATTATCCTGGGAAATAATTAGCATATGAACTAAGCAGCAGCACATAAACTCCACAATTGTAGCCGTCTATTTGCTTGGTGTGAGGTACAGTTGTCGCCTGCCAGGGAACATTGCTGAACACAGATTATGTGCCGGTTCTGTAAGTTCGTTCCTCAAACCAGTATCTGGTTGGAGAGGAAAACATGAATTGTTTATGCATAGGCCATGACATGCTCTCCTCACATTGCTATATGTCCAGCAACATTCATACACCTGCATAACACTGCATAACACATGAACAATGGCTGCTCATGATTGAGACTGCATGCTTGAACGGAAATCAATAATGCTTCATAACATGGGTACATAGGCTAATTGAGTCATCAATATGCAACTGGGCTATACATGTAACAATAGCCTCAACATCATTGACAGGTCAACTTAACATGTTATTATGAATACTATGCCAGACATTGGAGAAATAGCCAAACAATCTTGTCACCAGACCATAGACTAGATTTACCATACCCAATGTGACCAGGTTCTTCTCACTCATATGGCGCTCTGCATTAGGGGAACCAGTAGGCTCTCTGCATTAGGGGAACCAGTAGGCTCTCTGCATTAGGGGAACCAGTAGGCTCTCTGCATTAGGGGAACCAGTAGGCTCTCTGCATTAGGGGAACCAGTAGGCTCTGCATCAGGGGAACCAGTAGGGGAACCAGTAGGCTCTCTGCATTAGGGGAACCAGTAGGGTCCAGGAAAATGGCAAAGGGAGTCCTGCGATGGACATTCTAAAGGTCAGAGGTAATACCGAGGCAGTGTATGCAAATGTATAGCAATGTCCAATCTCTCACTAAAGGGTCCATCTTGTGCAGCTTACCAAGAGTATCCAGTGGTAGTTTGCCACGTTGCAGGCTCCAATCAAGCAACTGTGTTGCTCCAGACTGGTCAGACTACAGGGCACCTTTTGTCAGGAAGGTGGCATCTCTCCACATATTGACCCCTCTAGCCTCTCATTTAGAACCATGACACAAAAACAACTCTGCAGACATGCATTTACCTTTGTCAGGGTGCAGTGGCGGCTCCTGAAAAAATTCTCAGGAGGGGCAATTTTTCTGATGATTTAGGTGACCTACACACATTTTCAAAAAGATATGTCCAGCAACAACATGAAGACAGGGGCAGCATATAAGTCAATACCAGAAGCATTTATTGACTGATCTGGGGAGATGGATTCCAGTTTCTGTGACAGATTATAAATAATCTCTGATGCCTTTGTTATATTAGCTTTTGGTTGAATGTACTGTCGTAGTAAATATATAATGTTATAGCTTGGTCTGACTAAAATCTTGTGCATGACCCATTTTGTGTTGGGCGTTTGTTTTCAATCAATGCTGTTCCTATCCTATAACAATGGACAAAAGAGTCCTATCTTGTCAGCCTTGTCAGCAGGTGGCCAAGGACAACACCCACGCCATAGGTCTCTCAGTTCTTCCAACTCACGAGTTCTTGCTCTGAGGACACACACACACACACACACACACATCATCACTGATAACACACACACACACACACATCATCACTGTTAAACACACACACACACACATCATCACTGTTAAACACACACACACACACACACAAAAATCCCCTCTCTTTAGGCTGAACATTTGAAGACAGAGAACCTGACTCAGAGCCAATGCAACAGTGGAGGGGACCTCGCCCAACTCATCAGGACCAATCAGAAGATCAGAACTACTAGATTCAACCTACATCATTTATTGTATAAAATGTCAGCACACAATGTTTTCGGGGCTCTCTTCAGATAGCTCCCTAAGAGTTTGACGAACGAGTCCGTGCACGCGATTCCAGATATCTTTACCTCTGAATAAACTGCCTTTATTATACCATATCCACCCTGTCCAAAGTCTCTACTTGGTCTCAGTTCTCCAGTAAACTTGTGATTATCAACAGTACACAACGGTAACAAACAATTGGGGGAACTCACGGGGCAGATAGTAAGGTCGCAGTGACACAGAAAGCAGTTCAATGTCGGGGCTCGGGGGTACAGAGTCGCTCTCTTACCAGGATCGATTTTCCCTGTGACTGTCAGATCGAGGTCCGCTCCGACCAGGGTGAAGCCGGCCGGCTCCACTTCTCTGTCCGGGACTCTGTCATCCAGCCAAGTCTCCCAGCTGTATTGGATTCCGCTGCCAGCAACGTTTTCATTATTTAGTCCGTTCGTAGCGGGTATGTACACGATCAACAAGATCAGTCCAAAACCCACCACTGGAAATCCATGGTTGGCAGAATGTTTGTAAACTAAGTGTACAAATTAAAAACATAAAATAACGCCACTAAGTGTACAAATTAAAAACATAAAATAACGCCACACTGCAGGTCGCAACAGAGACGCTGCTAGCCGCTATTTGCTTAGTTACGTTCATGGTTACGTCACGTATGACGAAAGCGCGTAAGTGCAAGCCCACAGACACCCATAGAGAATGTATTGAAAGCTTTGAAATTTGAAAAAAATAGATTTTACATGACAGGCTATGAGAGACTTCTGGGCGATTTTCAACCTGACTGAAATCGCCCAAAAACGGGCGGGGCCATTTGAAGCACGACTTTAGCCTGATTTGACATTTAGTGGCAGTCAGATCAGATTACAACACTGATAACTACTGTTGCCGTGATATAATTGATTAGAAAAAAAATCCCTTCCTTTTCCCGTTTGGCAGTGCGTCGCCCATATCGCCCTATTGAACAGGCCGTCCCTGTCAGGGTGTTCTTGTGCATCGCCACCTTAACCCCATGTAGGATATTCCCTGCCACAAGGTGATCCACAATAAAAACGTATCTCCAATTCAAGGTCAATCCGCTTCAGTTGGAGGTAGAAGTCAATGACCTAAACCAGAATGGCATATGGTTGGTCAAAGTTGACATGATGCCCACACAAGACAGTCAGCCCAGGCAACAACTCTAATTGTACTTTGTACCAATTGCACGCATGGCTATTTCATACAATTCAACCATAACATGTCGGTGCCCTGAACATACCTCCCCACTAAGCCACTAGTTGGGCTTCAACGTATGGAAGTCGTGGAGGTGCAGGATGGCAACGCATCCCTCCAACAAAATACTTGCGGTTGCCCTGTCACTCCATCCGACGACATGGCCCACAGTTTGTTTACCTACACAAACAGAGGGCAGAAAAATGGTGTTCAAACTGCCTTACTGTACAGATGTGATTAACATACAGTTGGAGAACGTGCAGTATGTAACCAAAACAGTTTCCCATTCCACTTACTCTATCTCCAATTTGTCATCCCTGCTGGGGTGTTTCTCAGGTTGAGACTGTTGGAATTGGTCACCCTATATAATACATGTTGACAGTTCAGTTTCGGACAGCCTGTCTTTTGTGTTCAAGGATATACAGAAAACCCCTGAAGACCACATGGCTTAATAAAATGATCAACATTTTGTCACATACCCAAATAAGAGAAAATCCAGTAACAAACAAGACCTACCTGTTGATCAATGGTCGATGGTTCTTCCTGGTGTTTGGTGGGCATCTGGACATGCTCCTTGGAGGCACACTTATGGCCAGAGCGTTTTGCGCCCAGATGCTTTGTCCTTAGCTTTATTGGCACACTCCCGCCAATGGCAAGTACAGCTGCCAGTCAGTGGACACACCTCTGGGTGCTGTCCGAATCAGAGCAGCAGCACGTCTCCGTTGGCAACAGGGTAACGACGTGCTGCTTGTCTGAGAAGCCCTGGTAGATGAACGGTTGGGTGCTTGGCACCAGGATGATTCCTCCTTTTGCCACGATCATCCTGGCCAAGGCCTCAGAGGCTCCAGTTTCTGCCACACAGGATTGGATGCCTTCAGCAAAGGACACCATGTCTTCCTCCGACATGTGGTAGGGGAAGGTGGTGGTAAACATTCGCATGGAAAATTGCTCATGGCACTTGGGGGGTCACGTGGAAATTCCTGAGGTTACAGTAGCCCTACAGCACCTCCCTCAATGCATTGGTTTGGAGTTCGTAGAGTAGATAAACAAGTTTATCTACTCTCACCTTCTTCCATCCAACCAATGCCTTGAGGATAGCATTGAAGCTCTCAGAGCAGTTGTTTGTAATTCCATCTGACTGGATGTCCAAGCAGTTTAGCACATATTGTGCGCTCTTTTCCATGGCGTCGGACAGTGACTAATGGAAATAGGCCTCGAAATCAGGGCTCCAGTAGACGCACACTTCCCAGTGTGCATTCATAGTCGCTCCTTGATTTCGAGGCTAAGAGCTCTTTGATGGCCTGCTGGTAGTCGGCCACAGCTTGGGAGCCTCTGACCCCATCTTGTGCTTCACATTGTTCGAGATGTGGTTCCAGCAATTGACTATCCTGGCTTGCGGCAGCACAGACTGGATGGCTCCCTCAATAGCTGCCTCACGGTCTGTGCAGAAGATTGCTGTTGATAGTGAAAGGATGGTGCGAAACTGTTTGTGGTTTTCCATTTGCCGGGTGATGTGAATGAAGAATGCCAGGGGAAGGACAGGTGCCTCTTGAAAAGCTACATGATGGAAAACAAAGGGAGAAACATAAAAATTGCCCAGGTCAAACGTGGTGTCATAGCGAAATATGTGTTCTCCTTGGTGTTTGATTTTAATGACTGCCTTGGCCTCTTCAACCATTTCTGGTGCTGCCATTACCAGAAGGATTGCGCGTCGAGTCTCCAGTGACAAATCCAGGGAGAATGTCACCCATCATATGTGTTGCAACCAACTCGTCCCGGTCCAAAACAGTCAGGTCCCTGGGTCAACGAATTGTGAGACCTGTTGAAGGTGATAGCTGAGGGTGTTCGCCCTTTCGAGTTCATTGATCAGCACAGAAAAAATGCACTTTGGCTGATGGTAGCCCGCTGCTGTAACTTCCTCTGGTGAAAGCCTTTTCACAACTGAGGCGATGTAATCAAAAGTTGTGGCCCTCTTTCTCTTCGGCATTCTGAAAAGGAAAATGACATTGGGATTAGTATGGAGATACTGTAGAACAAGACAGGACAAGTTATTGGCTACCTCTGGAGTGAAGAATTAAATTGAGACCTTCAGGGAAAACGAAAGGAGGCGGTGTGTGTTTTTTTCATAAATAACAACTGGTGTGCTGCTTCAAGTGTGATGGAAATCTGGAGCTTTTGCTCACCTGATATAGAATACCTCATGGTAAGCTGGAAACCCTTTTATCTACCAAGAGAGTTATTGGCGTCCACATCACTAAGGACTTAACATGGTCCACACACACCCCCAGTCATGAAGAGGGCACGGCAGCGCCTCTTCCCCCTCAGGAGGCTGAAAATAATTGGCGTGGGCCCTCAGATCCTCAAAAAGTTTTACAGCTGCACCATCGAGAACATCTTGACTGGCTGCATCCCCGCTTGGTATGGCAATTGCACCTCCCTTGACAGCAAAGCGCTACAAAGGGTGGTGTGGACAGCCTAGTACATCACTGGGGCCGAGCTCCCTGCCATCCAGGACCTCTATACCAGGCGTTGTCAGAGGAAGGCCTGAAAAATTGCCAAAGACTCCAGCCAACCAAGCCATAGACTGTTCACTCTGCTACCGTCCGGCAAACAGTACCGGAGCATCGGCTCTCGGACCAACAGGCTCCGAGACTGCTTCTACCCCCAAGCCATATGACTGCTAAATAGCCAGACTGCTAAATAGTCAATTAATGGTACCCAAACTATATGCACTGACTCCATCTTGCACTGACCCTGCGAACACTCACTAGACTGTATATACACACCATATACACACTCACTCACACACACTACGCTGTCACTCCCACACAAATCCCTCATACATTCAAACACTACATACGCACACACATGCATACCGACACAACACAAACATACATACGCACACGCACACTCACACATGTTTACACTCATAATTTACTGCTGCTACTCTGTTCTTAATTTTACAATTATTATTATCTATCCTGATGCGTAGTCACTTTACCCTGCCTTCATGTACATATCTACCTCAAATACCTTATTATTATCTATCCTGATGCCTAGTCACTTTACCCTGCCTTCATGTACATATCTACCTCAAATACCTTATTATTATCTATCCTGATGCCTAGTCACTTTACCCTGCCTTCATTCTACCTCAAATACCTATATACCTATCCTGATGCCTAGTCACTTTACCCTGCCTTCATGTACATATCTACCTCAAATACCTTATTATTATCTATCCTGATGCCTAGTCACTTTACCCTGCCTTCATGTACATATCTACCTCAAATACCTTATATATTATTGATGCTAGTCACTTACCTGCCTTCATGTACATATCTACCTCAAATACCTTATTATTATCTATCCTGATGCCTAGTCACTTTACCCTGCCTTCATGGAACAGGCAGCTCCGTCTTGCCAAGGTTCAGCTTGAGGTGGTGATCCGTCATCCATACTGATATGTCTGCCAGACATGCAGAGATGCGATTCGCCACCTGGTTATCAGAAGGGGGAAAGGAGAAGATTAGTTGTGTGTCGTCAGCGTAGCAATGATAGGAGAGGCCATGTGAGGATATGACAGAGCCAAGTGACTTGGTGTATAGCGAGAATAGGAGAGGGCCTAGAACTGAGCCCTGGGGGACACCAGTGGTGAGAGCACGTGGTGCGGAGACAGCTTCTCGCCATGCCACTTGGTAGGAGCGACTGGTCAGGTAGGACGCAATCCAAGAGTGAGCCGCGCCGGAGATGCTCAGCTCGGAGAGGGTGGAGAGAAGGATCTGATGGTTCACAGTATCAAAGGCAGCAGACAGGTCTAGAAGGACAAGAGCAGAGGAGAGAGAGTTAGCTTTAGCAGTGCGGAGAGCCTCCGTGACACACAGAAGAGCAGTCTCAGTTGAATGACCAGTCTTGAAACCTGACTGGTTTGGATCAAGAAGGTCATTCTGAGAGAGATAGCAAGAGAGTTGGCTAAAGACGGCACGCTCAATAGTTTTGGAGAGAAAAGAGAGAAGGGATACTGGTCTGTAGTTGTTGACATCAGAGGGATCGAGTGTTGGTTTTTTGAGAAGGGGTGCAACTCTCGCTCTCTTGAAGACTGAAGGGACATAGCCAGCGGTCAAGGATGAGTTGATCAGCGAGGTGAGGTAAGGGAGAAGGTCACCGGAGATGGTCTGGAGAAGAGAGGAGGGGATAGGGTCAAGCGGGCAGGTTGTTGGGCGGCCCTGCCGTCACAAGTCGCAAGATTTTATCTGGAGAGAGAGGGGAGAAAAGAGGTCAAAGCATAGGGTAGGGCAGTGTGAGCAGGACCAGCAGTGTCATTTGACTTAACAAACGAGGATCGGATGTCGTCAACCTTCTTTTCAAAATGGTTGACGAAGTCATCCACTTTACCCTGCCTTCATGTACATATCTACCTCAAGTACCTTATTATTATCTATCCTGATGCCTAGTCACTTTACCCTGCCTTCATGTACATATCTACCTCAAGTACCTTATTATTATCTATCCTGATGCCTAGTCACTTTACCCTGCCTTCATGTACATATCTACCTCAAGTACCTTATTATTATCTATCCTGATGGCCTAGTCACTTTACCCTGCCTCCATGTACATATCTACCTCAAATACCTTATTATTATCTATCCTGAGCCTAGTCACTTTACCCTGCCTTCATGTACATATGTCAGTGTAGCTGTAGGTGGGGTGTGGTGGTGGAATCAGGCGCAGGACGCACAAAGTAAGTCCAAAAGACTTTAGTTGTTGGGCAACAAAACACAGCACGAAAACAAATGCCCTGAGGCAAGAAACTCCGCACACAGGCGAAATAAAGCGGGGCGCACAAAATACGTGCGACAAATTACTCCAAAACACAGAATGGAGAGCAGCTCAACCGAGCAAACTGTACATACAAAAGCTAAGCGCACGACAGTGAAAACAATCACACACAACACTAGACAAACAACAACGAGAACTTATAGGACACTAATACACTAAACGATAACAGGTGTAACAACAATCAGACAAAAGCAAACGAACATAGAAACATGCAACGGTGGCAGCTAGTATTCCGGAGACGACGAACGCCGAAGCCTGCCCGAGCAAGGAAGAGAGGCAGCCTCGGCCGAAACCGTGACAGTACCCCCCCCTTGACGCGCGGCTCCAGACGTGCGCCGACTCCGGCCTCGGGGACGACCAGGAGGACGCGGAGCAGGGTGCGTCGGGTGCCCACGATGGAATTCCGTCAGGAGAGACGGGTCCAAAATGTCTCTCCTCGGCACCCAGCACCGTTCCTCCGGGCCGTACCCCTCCCACTCCACTAGATATTGGAGACCCCCCATCCGACGTCTCGAATCCAAGATGGACCGCACGGAGTACGCCGGTGCCCCCTCGATGTCCAATGGGGGCGGAGGAGTCTCCCTGATCTCACTTTCTTGGAGTGGGCCAGCTACCACCGGCCTGAGAAGAGACACATGGAACGAGGGGTTAATACATTTATACTCAACAGGTAGTTGTAATTTGTAACACACCTCGTTCAACCTTCTCAGGACTTTAAATGGCCCTACAAACCGCCGACCCAGTTACCGACAGGGCAGGTGGAGGGGCAGGTTTCTGGTAGAGAGCCAGACTCGATCACCAGGTGCGTACACCGGTCCCTCACTGCGGTGGAGATCGGCGCTCGCCTTATGACGACGGAGGGCCCGCTGCAGGTGGACGTGTGCAGCGTTCCATGTCTCCTCCGAGCGCCGCGCCCACTCATCCACCGCAGGAGCCTCGATCTGGCTCTGCTGCCAAGGTGCCAGAACCGGCTGGTAACCTAACACACATTGGAAAGGGGTTAGGTTAGTGGAGGAATGGCGTAGGGAATTCTGGGCCATTTCGGCCCAGGGAACGTACCTTGCCCACTCCTCCGGCCGGTCCTGGCAGTATGTTCTAAGAAACCTACCCACATCCTGGTTCACGCGTTCCACCTGCCCATTACTCTCCGGGTGGTAACCCGAGGTGAGGCTCACCGAGACCCCCAACCGCTCCATAAAAGCTCTCCAGACTCTGGAGGTAAATTGGGGACCTCGATCAGACACAATATCCTCGGGTACCCCGTAGTGCCGGAACACATGGGTGAATAGTGCTTCGGCGGTTTGCAGGGCAGTAGGAAGGCCCGGCATAGGGAGCAAACGACAGGCCTTAGAAAACCGGTCCACAACGATCAGTATAGTGGTATTCCCCTGTGAAGGAGGAAGGTCAGTGAGGAAATCCACCGAGAGGTGAGACCATGGTCGTTGTGGAACGGGCAGGGGTAGTAACTTACCCCTAGGCAGATGTCTAGGCGCCTTACACTGGGCGCACACCGAGCAGGAGGAAACATAAACCCTCACATCCCTCGCCAACGTGGGCCACCAGTACTTGGCACTAAGACAGTGCACTGTCCGGCCGATACCAGGGTGTCCAGAGGAGGGTGACGTGTGAGCCCAATAGATCAATCGATCCCGAACCTCGAGCGGAACGTACTTCCGACCCTCCGGGCATTGAGGTGGACTAGGGTCGGTGCGTAACGC